AGGACATAGCAGGACATAGCAGGACTAGCAGGGCGGGAAGCCAAGGTGGGCCTGGAGTGCCGTGGCTCTGCCGCGGAAGCCGAGGCATGGCGCCGGCCTGCCGCCTTTGGCATGTTCCAGCCAAAGATCTCAGTACAGAAATGGCAGTGCCAGGGTGGTCAGGGCCGCTGCAGCTCACTGCTTGGGCGGTGGCTGCTGCACCAGGCGGACAAGCGCGCATTTCTAGCAGAGCACATATTCAAGTTTCGCTGATTTTTTGCTTAGGGCATCCAGTCATGCTGCGTGCTCTCACTCGCTATCTGGAAACGCGTGGCCTTCGGGACTTCAGCGAGTGAATCCTGCAAGGCGCCTTTGAAGCTGAGGCCAGGGCCTGCAATCGGCTTTTCGAGCTTGGCGCACTATCAGCTGCTGGCCTGGTCTCGGAATGTCTCGGGTAGAATCGGATAGGGTTCATATACAAGCTGCCGTGATGCTACCTGAGGCACAGTGTGGCCATGGGACCTGGGCTGCTGACACTGCTTGTGGATCAATGGTGCCTCAGCTATCGACTTTAGACCGGAGAAGACCAAGTCCATGTTTCGAGAATGGATGTCCAGATCTGGAAAGCACTTGCACTGCCATTTCAAGGATTCAAGAGAACAACCTCAACGGAAGGGGCCTGAAGGCTGGTTTTCTGTGCCAGTAGCGGTGCGTTGAGGAAAGAGCTGAGCATTTGCTACGTCAACAGTGCTTCCAATGCCTTCTTGAGATCGCCATTGTCACAGACAGTTGCAGACCTGCAGACAAGAGATGGCCAAGGCCCTGCCCAGCGTGCTCGGCATCTCTGCAGCTTCCCATGCCACTGACACGATTGTGCCTGGACCACCTGGGTGCATGGCTGTGCAGCCGAATGAAATACTTCATGCAGCAGCAACGTTTTCCACTCACAATGTCTGCAGATGCTAGGTAAAGTTGGAAGTGCCTCAATGAACAAGCAGGGGTTATGACATTGCGGTCGGGAAGGGTGTCTGC